CCCCGCCGCAGCAGGCTCCACGAGCACGCGAAGAAGGTTGGCTCGAGGTCCACCACGAGTCCGTCGTTTTTCGCCTTCTCAGCCGCGATCCACCTTTTCATGTCGTCCAAGAAGCAAGATTGCAACTCGACCCGGCAGTACCCGGCCTCGTCGGTGCGGCTCACGATGGCGAACCAGAGGTGGGCGGCGTCGTCGAGCTTGCAAGCGCTGATGCGCGCGGTTCTCACCGCGTAGTCGTTAACGGTTTCCACCGCGGTCGCCAGCACGGCGTGCTCTTTCGCGATATCTTGGTACTTGGCCTCGACCTCGGCCAGTCTGGCCTTCAGCATCTCCTTTCGCTCGCCCACCTCCTTGATGTCGTTTTGCAGCTTGTCGATCTTGTCTTCCAACCGCCGCTCCGTCAGCTTGCTTTGCGTGGATTCCTCCGCGAACCGCGACCGGAGGCATTTGGTCACGTGCGTCAGCCGCTGGATGGCTTCCTCCTTGGCCTCGAGGTCTCGCAGCCTGAACCTGCTGGCGTAGTCGAGGTACATATGGTGGACTTGCTCCACGAGGATGAAGTAGTCGCAGTAAACCGATGGGTCCTTCGCTTGGCCCTTGTATTTCCGGATCCGCATCAGCAGCCGCTTGAACGCCCCGGGGCGCAGCAAGTAGCGGACGCCTTTCTGCCCCGTGCTGCTGTCGACCACTTCGGTCTCGATGGAAATGTAGTCCACGCCTTCAACGAGATGGTGCGTTTCAATCACGGTCTTGACCTTGTTTGTTTTGGTGGACACCACTCCGAGCTTGACGAGCATCTCGAACGGCACCACAAACTGCTTCACGAAGTCTGTGTGGGCGATGTTTTTGAAGAAGTCCATAAAGGACAAGTCTTGGTCTTGAGCGTACTTGCACTGAAAGCGCATGAAGTACTCTTGGTAGCTGACCTCGCGAGGTTGCTCCAACAGCTCAGCGTTGAAGTCTGGCAAAGCAAACATGATGCTCCTGACAAGTTGCATGGCTTCCGGGCTGAAGGCATGAAGCGCGTCTTCCACGACGGCACCTTCTTTTTTATCAATTGTTGGTGCGACGCTCATTTTCGCCGCAAAGCCGATTTAAATGCAAGCAGCGTCTTTCCTTTTCGCAACTGTAAGTTCTACTCCTTCCTACACAAAGCCACATGTGGTCCACACAGAGCTGGAAGGATATCCTTCCACCTTATATGTGGTCCACACAGAGCTGGAAGGATGGTCCACACAAAGCTGGAACGATATCCTTCCACCTTATATGTGGCCCACACGGAGCTGGAACGATATCCTTCCACCTTATATGTGGCCCACACGGAGCTGGAAGGATATCCTTCCACCTTATATGTGGTTCACACAAACCGCCACTTGTGGTCCCCACAGAGCTGGAAGGATATCCTTCCACCTTATAGGTGGTTCACACAGGCCGCGTATTAAGCTGTTTCGCCTTACTGGTCGTGTTCGACACTTTTATTATTTTTTTCAATGCCGTTTTGACAGTGATCACCACTCGAAGCCACTTGTTTTCACACTTTTTCGAAATCAAGTTCGGACCCGAACGTTCGACGGCGGACCACAAGTTGCCGTGGCTGCCTTTCGGGCGTGGCGAACGGCGTGGTCGCGAGATTCTCCCCGGAATCAAAAAGCTTGTCCGTCTTGAATGATTCAATCATTTCATCATGAGAAGAGATGGAACCAAATGCGCTGCTGTTGACATCCAGTCGAGCAAACGACTTCGCCAAGTCATGCGTAAATTTGCGAAGCGCGGTCACCAGCACGCTCAGAAACGACTCGTACGACATTGCTTTGTCAGCCTTCGTCCAAAAGTAGCGCTCGAGTTCGAACCTGGTTTGCAAGTATCGGCCTAGCTGCCCAGAAGTTAGTACAGAGTATTTTTATAAAGTAAATCGACTTACCTGCCCAACAGCTCGTTTGCGCTTGCCCAACTGCTCGGTGCCTTTCATCTTGATCTCGTGCTTCATCTTTTCCACGTCGGGGAGCGCGATTTCCACGACTTCCGTCCCGGGAATAAGCGCACTCTTGTCGCGTTCAATCAAGTCCAAGATCTTTTCGAACGTTTCGGCGTGCACCAGCGTCACGGTCATGGTAGACGGCTTCCACTCGTCGGCTTCCTTTTCCTCTTCTTTTCCTCCTCTTGGTTTCTTGCTTGGGGTGTTACCAGCGCCGCGTACCCGATGTCTTGATGCGGCGGCATTTGTGCCCGGATTTGTTTCGAATTCTTTACTTCGTCGTCCACGTTCTTGACACGGGCCTTCACACCGCAAGCGGAAGAAGCGATGGTATTGATGACTTCGAAGTGTCGGTCCGTCAAGTGGCGGATCATGCGGTTGTGGAGACGCCGTTCATCCTCTCGCTTTTCTTCGATTCTTTCCAACTTTCGTTGCAGTTCAGCGCGTTCTTTGACAGCAGCAGCGCGCTCTTCGGCAGCAGCAGCGCGCTCTTCGGCAGCAGTAGCGCGCTCTTCGGCAGCAGTAGCGCGCTCTTCGATGGTTGCAGCAACTTGCTTTTCTAAGAACAAAATACGTTCTTGCGCAAAGCGAAGAGGGTCTGCATACCCGTCGTCTTCGCGCTCGCGGTCGTCCCTGGATTTCGCGCGGAGACGCACGCGTTCGTCCTTCCCCCCCCCCCCCCTTTGCCGCTACTTTTCCTTTCGAGGGCATTTTGTGTGTTTTGGTAAAAAAAAAAAAAGAAAAAAAAAAGAAAAAAGTGGTACACATAACACACATACATGTCTTCCTTTTTTTTTTTTGCTCGTCAAGTATGTCTGATGCGGTTTTGTTGTGCTCTTTGATGAATCGCTCGTTCATCATCACGCCGTTGTAGTTGCTGCCGACGTTGGGGGTCGATCCCATCATCAATGCGCTGCTGATGTTCGTGTGCACAAGGCTTTCTTCGTTGTTGAGTCCGGCTTCCGTGATGGTTTGGATGGGGTGGCTGTAGCTGATGCTGAGCAGCGTGTTGCCGGGGTTGCTTTCGGCGACGCCGCCGCGCTCGATATTGGAGACAAAGCCGTTAGCCGTGAGCGTGTCGGCGATCAGCGTATAATGCTTGATGTTGATGTCCGTGCCCGACATTTCACGCAAGCACTGGATGATCTTCATGCGCGCGGCGTGGATTCCGTAGAGCTCCTGCACCTCCAGCACGCTGTTGGACGCGGTCTTGTGCGGGTCGACGGCGTTGTGGTGGAGTATGGCCGTGAGGTTTGTGCCTTGCGTGCGGATGATGTGTTTGCGCACGACCTTCATGGACCCGTCGGGCTGCTCGACGGTGCGCGGGACGAAGTCCTTCATGACGGTGGCGGAGATGATGCCGTCCACGCCGCGGATGACCACCTTCAGCAGCTTCGCGTGCAAGAAGTCGTGCACGACGAACTGGTCCACGACGGAAGCGCGCCGGAACACGTCCTCGCCGAAGTACACGCGCATGGCCACTTCTTCGGCGTTGTCGTCCGTGTACAAGATGTACAGCTTCGGGAAGTGCTGCATGAGTTTGCGAAAGATCGTGCTGACCTGCATGTTCTTTTCGATCAGCGCCGCGCGCGACAGCTCCAGTCGCACGCACCACGGCAGTAGCCCGGCGGGCGGCCGCTGGTTGACGGCGTGGCGCTCGAAGGTGCACCGCATGGCCTCGGCCTCGTCCTTGAAGTCCGGGTGGCGGGAGGCGCCGTACGCTTCGAAGAAGATTTGCGCGCGGCGCACGAAGGTGCGCAGGTTCATCATCTCGATCTCGTTGGCGACGCGCTGCAAGGCGACCACGTCGTCTTCGAATTCGGGCCGCAGGAACACGTCCATGTAGGCGTTTTCGAGGCTGTCCGTGCCCTTGGCGCCGTAGACCTCCTTGATGCGGTTGAGGAAGTTGGACTTGGACGCCCCGGACGCGTGGATGGAGTCCAGGATGCGCTGCGTCATGCTTTCGGAAGTGCACTCCGAGGCGAACATGCCCATGGAAGTGCCGTATTCCACGAGCGCCTTCTTGTAGGCGGACGTGATGCGGTCGGCGACGAGCGCCATGGTCTTGGCGTCGATGCGGTGCTGCAGCACGCGCCGGTAGGCCAGCCCGACGTCGAGACCGATGTCCATCAGCGCGAAGGACCGCTCCACGTGCTCGGGGATCTCCCGCGCCGCGCGCTCGCAGATCTCGTTGTAGTGGGTGTAGCGCGGCGAGCGCGGCGCGCCACTGAGTCGCCCGCAGCGGCGGCCCCGCGGCGTCTCCGCGGAGGTAGTCCCCGTGGCGGTAGGCGACGTTCTCGAGTATCTTGAGCGGGTTGACGGGCAGCACCTGCTGGGCGGAGAGCAGCGAGTCCTTGAAGTTGCAGGACTCGATGCGGGCGTAGCCCTGGCGGTAGCGCGTGCGCGCGCGGCAGGCGTCGGCGTAGGCGGCCTCTAGCGCGCGCCACTCGGTGTCGTTTTCGGGCTGGAACTGTTCCGCGCTGAATTGCTCATCGAAGTTGGCGTCGCTGGCCAGCAGCACGCGGAAGTCGACGTAGGCGGCTTTGCGGATGTCCACGCCGTCGTCGCCGTAGAGCTGCTGCAGCACGAGGTCGTACTTGACGAGGCGGCGGTGGTTGTCGACGTGGACGGCCTCGAGGGCCTTGTTGGCCTTGCGGTTGTGGTAGCCGGTGGTGCCGGTGGAGAGCGCCTTGGTGGTGATGCCGTTGCGGCCGTCTTGCTGCTGCGCGATGGCGGACATGAAGTTGACGCCGGTGACGAACGAGTCGGCGATGAATCCGACGGCCTCGGGCTCGTCGTGGAAGCGCCGCGCGTAGGGCAGCGCGCGCTGGAAGTCGAAGGCCTTGCGCATGCGTTGGCCGTTGATACTCATCTGGCCGATGGAAGAGCTGATTTGCAGGATGTTGGTGGGCTTGCCCTTGGTGCCGGTGGCGACGAGCTTGGCGAGGTTGTTCTTCTCGTGGTCGATGCTGGACATGACGACCTCGGTGAACTCGTCGCCGGGGCTGAGGATGTTCATCTGCTCTTGCTCGTAGAACTCGTGGGGGGTCATGCCGATGGGAGGCGTGACGAGCCCGGCGCGGAACTTCTCGGTGATCACGGCGGACTGGCGCAGGATGCCGGCGGTGACGTCGTTGATGTTGCGCAGCGTCTTCTTGTCGATGGCGAAGTCGTCGTAGTTGATGGTGTACCGGACGTGTTTTTGAGGAACTGCAGCAAGATGCCGGTCGTGCAAAAGAGGATGCCCTTCTCCGCGGGCTTCTTGGCGACCTCCATGGTCTGGTAGCC